ATTTGGAGTACAAATAAGGTTCGATCTCGATGAAAGACCACGGTCAGGTTCAGAGGAAGCTACAAACGCAGCAGGGCTGAAATTTCAGTGAAACAATATGACAAAAACCGCAGCCTTGAGATGGAGAACTGCTCCTGAAATTCTGGAGAAAACAGAACTAGGATGTAAAAGGCTGCAGACACTGTGTGTCATGAGGCTAAAAGCTGCAAATCCTCTGAGCTCAGAGTCAGTCATTAATGCCCTGCTGCTGTTTATAAAGTTACACCATTATAACAAAAACAAACTTCTGATCTGATCAGAAAAAAAAAGCTGTGACTCAATATAAACCTTTCACTCACGTGTATAATTAAAGTTAGGCACCAGATGCTGATGATAAATCTAATCGTGTTTCCTGCATTACGTCATTTCAGGTTGTTGCTGTGAATGTTTTTCTTTTTTTGAGGGGAACAACAAATTTGCAGTTAAGTTAAATACAAAAATGAGGCATCTAAAACATGATTTTAGTAAAAAATGTAAGATAAAAAAAAAAACAATATTCCACTTTTGTTTTTTTTTTCATTTTGAGTGTTTCTATACTATTAAACTAGACGCAACCTTAACGTACCTTTATATATGACTAAAAACGAAGGTTTATGCCATATTAGCGATTGTGCATTGCAAAGGAATTTTCAAGATATCGACGGTACCACACAGCAACCACCTAGCAGCATCCTAGCAACCACCTCGATTATCACAGCAACTGCCTAGCAACAGCCTTACAACTATCCGCAATACCATAGCAACCACCTAGCAACACCCCAGCAACCATTTGGGATATTATAGCCACCACTTAGCAACACCTTATCGACCACATGGGATACCATAGCAAACACCTAACAACATCCTAGTGACGATCTGGGATCCCACAGTAACCACCTAGCAACGCCATAAAAAGCACCTGGGATACCACAGCAACCACCTAGCAACATCCTAGCAACCACCTCGATTACCACTGCAACCATCTAGCAAAAGCCTCACAACCGTGTAGTAACACCCTAGCGACCATTAGGGATCCCACAGCAACTATGTAGCAACACCATAATGAGCGCCTGGGTTATCATAGCAACCACCTAGCAACATCCTAGCAAACCCCCTCGATTACCACACCAACCGCCTAGCAACAGCCTCGCAACTATCTGCGATACCATAGCAACCACCTTGCAGCACCTCAGCACCCACTCGGGATAGTGTAGCAACCACTTAGCAACACCTTAGCAACCACATCGGATACCACAGCAATCACCTGGCAACCATCTGGGATCCCACAGCAACTACCTAGCAACACTATAATAAACACCAGAGATACCATAGCAACCACCTAGCAACATCCTAGCAACCCCTCTATTACCACAGCAATGATGGGAAAATAGTGGAAAATCTGAAACAATAAGTTTTCTTTGGGGACTATTTTGCCATGAAACACCCTTCCTATGTAAAAACTATTGCTAAAAAAAAGTGTCTCAGTCATCAGGCGGTGAATTCATAACCCTGTGACGTAATAACTTTCTCTGAGGGAGCTTTTAAAGGTGGACGTCTGGTTCCTATCACCACCACTAGCCACGTTTACCTGCAGCCTGATAATCCGTTAATAATCCGACTAACAGCTCAATCGGAATAGAATACGTCCATGTAAACACCTCAATCAGAATAGTCTAGTCTGATTGAGGCCATTCAGGATACAGTTTCTATCCGACTGATCGAGGTGGGTAATCCTGTAAATAATCTGTTAAATAGAAGAATAATATCCGTGTAAACGCCTGTATCTGATTACATTCCCTATCGGAAAGTTTAAGTCCGTTCTGATCATGTTCGTCACGTCATAGTGAGAGTTTATACCGTTCAACATGGCGGAGCAGAAAACTGGTCTGCAGAGGAGACGAAGTTTCTGCTCTGATCTTTAAAAGACGGCGGTGGGACGGACGTCCAGCTTATGTGTCTCAGAACACGACGTCTTCCTCTCGGCCTTCTTTAATAAGGATGTGTGAAGGACGTTTTCCTGAGTCTGACATCATTTTAAAGCAATTAAAAACACAAGCGCTGCTCACTGCTGCTCGTCTCACTCTGACTGGACTCACGTGATGCTGGTTGTCATGGTAACGTCTACACTAAGTGGTTCTCTACGCATGCATGTAATTTTGCATCTGATTACTTGTAGTGAGCATGTAAACAGAGATTTTCCATCAGATTGTTGAGCAGAGTGAGAATATTACGACGGTGTTTTAGGGCCACTGTTAATAAAAATACAAATAGTAGACTTCGAGAATAAAGTCGTAATATTTCAAGAATAAAGTTGTTGAATTACGACATTAAAGTGGCATTAACACCAGGAGAGGTCACAATATTGAGGCCAAATGAGGGGCGGTGAGTTGGTGGAGTTCTACTTTCATATCGATTCACCCATAAAGAAACACTCAGTCTCCCTGTCTCTCCTGCACATCAGCACCAGCCTGTCATTAGTATAAGAACCGGCTGAAACGGCTGAGCAGGAAACTGTGTTTATCTAGAATAAAGAGCCAGACGGACTCGGAGGAAACTGTCTGTCTGTGTTGTTGAAGGAGAATCTCAGGCAGGGTCGTCTACACGGCTATCGGGGCTACATTTCCCTCCATTCAAAGAGGGCATGAAGTTTCACAGACAGTGAGAATGATGATCAACATGATCCACAGAGAGACAGGAGTGAGTGGAACCCCGGCACCAGTACAGCAACTGAGACCCCAACGTGTTATGGCCCTCCTACAGTTAGCCCCCCTACAGTTAGCCCCCCTACAGTTAGCCCAATTTATCCTCTTTTTTCTTTTTCTCGAAAAATTACAACTTTTTTCTCGAAATATGACTTTATTCTCAAAGTCTACTGTTTTTATTTTTATTAACAGGCACTAAAACAGGCTCCCGAATGGCGCAACCGTCTAAGCGTTGGCCCTGTCATCAGGAGATCGTGAGTTCGATCCCTGGTGATGCTACAGCCGTCCGTAGCCGGGAGTCCAAGAGAGCACAATTGGCCTCGCTCTCTCTGGGTGGGTAGGATGGCCCCTCCTTCTCCCCCCATCACTCAGCGCGATGCTAGTCAGCGCAGGCGTCTGTTAGCTGACGCAACAGATCTGGCGGTTGGCGCTTTCCTCCGAGCGCGTTCGGCTGTCCAGTGACGTTGCGTGAGCGGCGATCGAAAAGAAGCGTCGGCGCTTCACAGGTCTCGGAGGAAGCCTGTGTTAGCCTTCGCCCTCCTAGCGTTGATAGTATCGTGTGATTGAGGGAGTCCTAATTAGCGGGTGAACTGGCGAAGACTAAATTGGGGAAATAATTGGGTTAAAATCCAAAACAGGCCCTAAAACGCCGTCGTAGAACATAAACACCTCGGTCTTAATCTGTAATCGGAATTTATTAAATGTATTAAATTGGATTGGCAAAAATCTTTGCATGTAAACACAGACACTGTAAACAGTTCTGACTCTAGAACAGAGCATTTCACACCAAACCACTCGGAACAACTCTGTTTACATCGTTATCATGTAATTATGCAGAACTTTTTCAGAATTCCTCTTTGAACACTTTGCAGCACAGACAAAACAGCCGTGTAATATCGATTGTTAGCTGTCAGACAGAGCTCAGTCTGAGAGTTCTGTTACAGCTCAGTGAAAACAGTGTAACGATGGTGCAGCATCACTGCTGTGGAATTTTTTTTAAAGAAATAATCATCTCAAAAACATGCTACTAATAAAGCAAACTACACTCTTAAAATGATGCTTCTTCAAGGGTTCTTTAGTAAAGAAAATAGCTCTATATAAACTAATGAACACTCAAAGAACCCGTTGCATGATTTAAGGGTTCTCCGCATGGAAAACGTGCATGACTGTGCTATGGACCTTTTGAAAAGGGTTCTATATAGCACCCAAATGGGTTCTTCTATTGTTACAAGCTTGACAACATGACTGTATAGAACCATCTATAGCACATTCTCCATCAATCCGAAGAACCCTTTCTTTGAGTGTTCACCGTACTTAACAGAACCATTTTCTTTACTAAAGAACCTTTGAAGCACCACACCATCTTTTTTAAGACCAAAAAGCGTTCTGATACTGTTATGACGTTAAGCCTGTGACAATAGAGGAACCCTTTTAGGTGCTATATAGGACTCTTATCAATACGGTTCTGTTTAGAACCATCTACAGCACATTCTCCATCAATCTGATGGGATACCACAGCAACCACCTGGCAACAGTCTAGCAACACCCTAGCAACCATCTGGGATCCCACAGCCGTTTTGGTGGTATATAGGACTCTTATCAATAAGGTTCTGTTTAGAACCATCTACAGCACATTCTCCAGCAATCTGAAAAACTCTTTCACGACGCAAAGAACCCTTTATTCATGGAAAGGGTTCTTTGAGTGTTCACGGTTCTACATGGAGCCATTTTCTTTGCTGAAGAACCCTTGAAGAACCATCTTTTTAAAGTTTGTACACAATTTTTTGCTATGACGCCTCTAAATTTTTTAACTTCGCTTTTAAAAATAAAAACTTTTCATATGCATATCAGCACATGTAGAACCAAGTGCAAAAGTCTTGGCGCCCCTGGTCAAATTAACGTGTTTTGTTTTTTGTTTTGATTTTCCAAGTGAAATAAGTTTATCCTCCACAGGAAACACACTTCGGCACATTTTAGTGCACGGTTACTGTGTATTTGCTGACCTTAACATATTGGGAAAAAACCTAAACATAAAATGTGACCTGTGCAAACGTTATGACACATTTTATTGTATGTCATATTTTTTACAACGTGTTAAACTCAAACAGAGCAACCACAAGGCTCATTTTCACTGAACCAAACCTGCCAAGTGTGAACAGATTTAAAGTCCTTATTTGTGTCCAGCTGGACTGATAAACGCTGCAGGTGCAAATGTAACAACAGACATTGTGCCGTACAGCAGCTGGAGAGCTTGTCGTTCTCCTTTTTCTTTACAGTTACCTGGAACTTTATCCACGGAGGCGAAGGCGGGGCCTCGTCGAGCCTGGTCGTAGAAGCGGAAGGGCAGCTGGGACGTAGAAGCAGCGGGCTGACTGAAGCCCAGAACTTCAGAGGACGGCTGGACAGGAAGGTCCAGAAGCGCTGCAGGATGGAAAAAAGAGGTTTGGAGAGTTTGGAAAAGAAAGAGGAGAGACAGAAGAAGAGATGCAAATCACACGCAAAAACTGTGTTCCCGAAAGAGCAACAGCTGAAAACAGTTTAAAACGCTTTGCATACAAAATCTGAATAAACACACTGACATACCTTTAAACGCAACTGCTTTTAGATGCTTTCAGCTCAGTCGTATGCAAAAGTTTAGGTGCCCTGATTAAATTACACATTTTATTGATTGTCTAAGTGAAAACGAGTTGACCCAAACTTAAATGTGGCATTTTTATAATTGCTAAGCTTACATACATATCATACCATACATACCTTTTTAACATAAAAGACAACATGCTGTAACTCGAGCATCAGAACTGCTGCAGCATTTAAGGTCTGACTTCAGCTTCATATCACTGAAGAATTAGGGGTGGGTGATAATAAATAATTGCCCCCCTCTTTGAAGGCATATGATGCCCTAAATGTAACTCAAGCCCAGCAGTGAGGAGCTGAACTTTACCCTCCTCTGCTGTCACTGCAGTCTGGCAGGGTCACCTACAGAGCAGCACTGGTAGCTGTTAATGAAGTGATGCTCTTTTTATTTGAGGGTCCCATTTCAGAGGGAAGATTTCAACCACTACCCTGTAACTCAGTAACAAGGAGCAAAGCGACACTCAAAAACAAGGGATAGGGGTAAAAATAAGAAATGGGACTGGGCCCAAGTGCTTTTTTACTTTTTTACTTGCTATTTTTACTATATCTAACCGAGACAGTAGTGTGACAGTGGTTATGTGTAGTTTAGTGTACCAATTCAACAGTACTTAGTACTTACACTGATCAGGCATAACATTATGACCACCTCATTGTTTCTGCGCTCGTTGTTCATTTTATCAGCTCCACTTACTATATAGGTGCACTTTTGTTTCTCTGCATACTTTGTTAGCCCCCTTTTACCCTGTTCTTCAGTGGTCAGGACCCCCATGGACCCTCACAGAGCAGGTGCTATTTGGGTGGTGGATCATTCTCAGCACTGCAGTAACACTGACGTGGTGGTTGTGTGTTAGTGTGTGTTGTGCTGGAGCGAGTGGATCAGACACAGCAGTGCTGCTGAGTTTTTAAACACCTCAGTGTCACTGCTGGACTGAGAATAGTCCACCAACCAAAAATATCCAGCCAACAGTGTCCTGTGGGCAGCGTCCTGTGGGCAGCGTCCTGTGGGCAGCATCCTGTGACCACTGATGAAGGACTAGAGGATGACCAACACAAACTGTGCAGCAGCAGATGAGCTATCGTCTCTGACTTTACATCTACAAGGTAGACCGACAAGGTAGGAGTGTCTAATAGAGTGGACAGTGAGTGGACACAGTGTTTAAAAACTCCAGCAACACTGCTGTGTCTGATCCACTCAGACCTGCACAACACACACTAACACACCACCACCACGTCAGTGTTACTGCAGTGCTGAGAATGATCCACCACCCAAATAGTACCTGCTCTGTGAGGGTCCATGGGGGTCCTGACCACTGAAGAACAGGGTAAAAGGGGGCTAACAAAGTATCAGAGAAACAGATGGACTACAGTCTGTAACTGTAGAACTACAAAGTGCACCTATACAGTAAGTGGAGCTGATAAAATGGACAATGAGCGTAGAAACAAGGAGGTGGTCATAATGTTATGCCTGATCTGTGTAAATAAACAGCAAGGACCATGATAGACAATAAACCAGTTTGGCCATCTTAATAGATGCTTCAAACGGATGGTTCTTAAAGGGCTTTTCAGTAAAGAAATTTGTCCTATATAGAACCATGAACACTCATAAGAACTCTGCATGATTAAAGAGTTCTCTACATAGTGAAGTGGTCCTTCAGATTGATGGAGAATGTGTTATAGATGGTTCTATACAGAACCTATTTAAAAAGGGTTCTATATAGCACCCAAAATAGGTTCTTCTATAGTTATAAGTTTTACATCATAACAACAGAGGAACCCTTGTTGGTGCTATATAGAATCCTTTTCGATAAGATTCTATATAGAACCATCTACAGCACATTGTTGTTTATTGTATTTCTTTTAAAGAATTATTTTATTTGTTTAAAGTATTACGGAATTCTTGCTTTATTATATGCAAAAGTACAGCATTTCAGCCATATTCCAACATATAAATGAATACTTTTGGTCTAACTGAGCAACAGTGAGCTAGAAAACGTTCACCTCATGACCCATTTCACAGCAAAATAAATGCTGGGAAATTAATCCAAATGCGTATGTTCAAACCAGAGAAAATCCAAAAATGGATCTTTAACAATATTGATTCCTTTTTTTAAGGTTAAAAAAAGCAAGTGGATGAGATGTTCGGCGTGTTAGAACGTTATTTCACGGCTCTACTGAAAACAAATCTGATTTGCTGCCGTCCATCTACCGCCAAAATGTAGGAAATACTGACCTGCTATTCTCTGCATCTTCATGCGGCGGGCTTGGATGCGGCCCTTGGCCAGCCGCTGCTTGGCGATGATGCAACGGATGTGGTCAGCGAAGATGAAGGAGGCCTGCAGGATGGGGAGGGGCTTGGCATGGGGGTTGGAGGTGGGCTTGTGGATGGTGATGTTTAGAGCCCTGCTGTCGTCCTCCACCCCAGACACCTGCATGTCCTACAATACCAACAACAACAATAAACAACGACGAAAATACTTCAAAAACAGCAGGCATACAAAACTAAAGACATGGTTTAATTATGAACGCTAGGGATGAGCAGTGATACAACATGGCAAGATATTTGCTCAAATAATATTACCACTGGACAGATGTTCGGATTTGATGGATTTGATGGCATTTGATGCTGTATTAATTGGAAGAGCAGTTTTAAGTAAAGCTGGGTTAGGTATACAGTGGACAAAAACAAACCCACCCACATAAATATACACTGATCAGGCATAACATTATGACCACCTCCTTGTTTCTATGCTCATTGTCCATTTTATCAGCTCCACTTACTATATAGGTGCACTTTGTAGTTCTACAGTTACAGACTGTAGTCCATCTGTTTCTCTGATACTTTGTTAGCCCCCTTTTACCCTGTTCTTCGGTGGTCAGGACCCCCATGGACCCTCACAGAGCAGGTACTATTTGGGTGGTGGATCATTCTCAGCACTGCAGTAACACTGACGTGGTGGTGGTGTGTTAGTGTATGTTGTGCTGGTCTGAGTGGATCAGACACAGCAGTGTGTGTGTGAGGTGAAATTTCCCTGTTGTGGGACTAATAAGGGTCTGTTAATCTTACTAGCTTAACATCGTAACAACAGAAGAACCCCTTTGGGTGCTATACAGAACCATTTTTAACACATTCTCGTCAATCTAAATAACCCTTTAAATACGCAAAGGGTTAATCGAGTGTTCGCGGTTCTATATAGAACCATTTTCTTCACTAAAGAACCCTTGAAGCACCATCTTTTTTTAAGAGTGTGGACTCTTGGACGAGCAGTCAGTGGAGCTCTTATGTAAAAAGGGTTTGTACTCATGATTTATAACAAGGTTGTCATTGTGCCTCGCATGAAGTGACGCAAGTATAGCTACAGAGCATCCGCTTCAGCCTCGTACAAGCAACTGATATGGGTTTGTTCACGTGGGATATGTTGACTCAGAATGAGATGATGTCCAAACTCACAGATCCATGTGTTCTTACTGCTGTTTAGTTAACAAAAGCTCCTCCCTATACAGCACAATCCTACTGAGGGCGTAGGAATCCAGCTCGCTCACAGCCTGTCTCTCCACAATACGGCAAGAATTCCACAGTGATTATCTTAGGTGTTGTCTGCCTGCTGTGGAAGTATAAATCAAGTTAACTGATGTTAAGAGATTAGACAGCCAACCTGCAGAAGGCCAGCGAACTTGACGACTCCCCAGCCCAAGCGTTTGGTATCCGGTTCCACCAGGCTCATCTGATATACGTCCACGGCCAGGAAGCGCTGGGCCTGAACCCCATCCTTACTCACCACCATGCATGCAATCAAATCACTGTTATCTAAGGAGGAAAATCAAGGGTTCATGGTTAGTTTAACTCTGGTTATTGTCCTGCATGTATGATAAAACATGCTAAATATTTACACTCACTGTATACGATAAAATCAAACAAAAGTCATATCGGGGTAAACAGGAACTCCTCAGCGCAGACACCCAAGAAAGCATACCTAAATGGTTCTCGGACATACAGCTGTACAAAAATCCTTTTACGTTTTGTGAAGGCTCTTCAAACTTTCATACTCACACATCGTTTAGTTAAAGAACTGTCCATTGCAAAATTCCTTAGAGAACCAAAAGAACCCAATTTGCAGGGCAGTATGTAAACTTTTGGAGCAGGCTGTGTTGCAGTTGTGAAATAAAAAACCCTCTAAAAAATATTAATTTTGAATTAGAGGAAGAATTTGTCATTATCTGTAAAAACAGAAGCAAGACTTAAAAGATTTGAATGTTCATTTTGTTAAATATTTCGGAATTATTTTCTACAAAATAACTGAGAGTGGTGTCAGCACTCGAGCACCATTTTTTGCAGCATTAAAAGGGACAGAACCCACACCAGCAGGATCTGGCATATGGTTGCTGTCACAGATGTCAAAATGGGGAGTGAAATAGTTTATTACTTAAAAGTAAGGCCCAGTGTTACTCAGCGTGTGAGCTTTAATCAAGTCAAAGTTTATTTATATAGCGCTTTTCACAACAGGGGTTGTCGCAAAGCAGCTTTACAGAAAAATCTGGGTCCGAGCCCCCATGAGCGTCGCTAATGGAGACAGTGTCAAGGAAAAACTCCAAGAGCAAGAAACCTTGAGAGGAACCAAGACTCAAACGGGAGACCCATCCTCCTCTGAGCTTTAGTTTAATTCATTTGTTTTAATAAAATAAGCATAATTAAGGTATAACGTCACTCAAAACAAAAGGATTCATTAGAAACAGTTCTTAATGTTTAACACTGATTTACTTTGGGACACATTTACTTCAAAACAATGGGATTGAAGTGCTCACCATGTGGCCATGAAGGACAGGGATGCAGCCTCACTTCCTGCTCTAAAATGCAGGGTCGTGGCCAAAATGTGGCTCCACCCACAGACTAAAACTCATGGGACAGCATTTATTTATTTATTTTTAATTAGCCTCTTGATAAATTTTAATCTTTCATCTTTACTTAAAAAGAGATTTGCCAAAAATATTAAAACATTTAAAAATTCACTGATTCAAATTTAGGGGTTAGGGTTAGGAAGCTACCCTATAAATGATGACTGTGTACATGTTTAGCTTATAACTACCTCAGTTGATGCCCCGAGTTTGAACAGATCAGAACATAATCCTCGTAAAACTCTAAGAACTGAATATTTTATCGTACAGTAATTCAGCTGAATGGTCTGAAGTCTACAATCAGCCAGAGTGAAAATACCCTGAAACCTCATAAAAAAAAAGACAAGCAAGAAACTGCAAGGAAGGAGGGGGAGGGATGAGAAAGAAAACAGCAAGACCGAGGAAGACGCATCGCAAAAAAAGCTCTTCCATGCACTTATGTAATTTTCACAGCAACTGTGACGCAGATTAGGTTTAAAATCCAGGCTGTGAATGACACCACATCACCAACAAACATCTCTCAGAGTGAAATGAAAAACTCCGCTGTCTGCAGACAGCCATGAAGAAATTATCGTGAACTGCTGCCAAACCCAAACAAGCTTTCCTGAGAAGGCTGAAATGAGCGAGGCTATCTGAGGTCATTGCTTCCTGTGACCTAACAAAATGTCAGACATTCGGTCAATGTTTAGTCAAGATCAGATAGTGTGAGCAAAACCTGCTACAATATCAAACGCTTGGCACACAGGCGGGAGTTTTCAAAACACTCCAGTGAGTCATAACCATCTGCGTATTTCACAGCAGCCACCAAGAACACTGAGGAAGAGCGCAGAGGACAAGCTGCACCGGTTACTACTCTACTAATATCTATAAAGCCAACATCATCGCCCCCCCCCCACCCCCCCCTGGCCCCGACCACGGTTTCCCTTTCTTTACTACACTTTCACAGAAGACTCGCCGACACACTCCGAGGAACTACCTCAGAAACAAGAGGACCGAATTCCTCTCCTGAGGCGAGGCTGAGAGTGGTGGATGATATAAAATCTCAAGTGACAAACTCTCTGCACAAAAACAAAGTGTGAAAAAAAAACAAAACAGGCAAGTCTGCTGCCGTGGAGACGGCCTCATTAATAGCAGCTCGTTCTGCTTTTAAAAAAAAACAAAAAAGCCACAAGACACATCACCAAAGTGTGATGTCATCCTCTCTTCAGGGGAAATCAGACGAGTCTGACAGCTGAGCCGTTTCTAAGCAGCTCATTTTATTCTTAACAGAGACGCGTTTCGAAAAAAGGGGAAACAAAACAGGCCACTTCCTCCTGCACCGCTCATGAAGGACATCCCACCGGTGACAGATGACCACTTACTCTTCAATCTGCAGCAGAGATTCGTTGTAACTGATGCAAATCATAGCTGTGGAATGTTTTTTCTTTTTTTTTTAAACACCTGCTGCTGAAATAGATTTTTTTAGGCCGAATAATATTTGTTTGCAATAAAATGGCCTGAATCCAACAGTCGGACCCTTATTTTTCTGACTTTTTACCTTTTCATCTGACTATATATATATAATATATAAGCTCATTGACTGTATATATGATATATATTAGATATATAATCATTTACTGTATATAGGATATACATGACATATACACTCATTGACTGTATACGATATATATATGATATACACACTTATTGCCTGTATATGATATACACACTTATTGCCTGTATATATGATATGTACAATGAGTGTATATATCATATATACAGGCAATAAGTGTGTATATCATATATATCGTATACAGTCATTGACTGTATATATGATATATATGAGATATATACTCATTTACTGTATATAAGATATACATGAGATATATACTCATTTACTATATACGATATATATGATATATACACTCTGACTGTATGTATGATATTATATATACACTCATTGAGTGTATACATGATATATATGATATATACACTCATTTACTGTATGCACTATATATATATATATATGACGAACATTAGAAACTGTTCACTCTGGGTGGAAATCAGAAAGATTTCTTTGCAATTCTGCACAGATGAGTGGCCAAAATTCCTCCACAGTGCTGTAAAAGACTCATTGCCAGTTATCGGAATCGCTTGATTGCAGTTGTTGCTGCTAAGGGTGGCCCAACCAGTTATCAGGTTTAGGGGGCAATCACTTTTTCACACAGGGCCCTGTAGGTTTGGATTTCTTTTTCCCTCAATAATAAAGACCTTCATTTATAAACTGCATTTTGTGTTTACTTGTGTTATCTTTGTCTAATATTTAAATTTGTTTGGTGATCCGAAACATTAAAGTGTGACAAACACGCAAAAGAATAAGAAATCAGGAAGGGGGCAAACACTTTTTCACACCACTGTGTGTGTATGTATATATAAATGAAGCCAGTGGTTTAAGCTGACCTGGCCAGTAACAGGCCCTAAAAAGGAGAACGTCGCTCTTAAATCTTTAGTTACGCCACATGCGCGTCCAGCATGTAGATCTGGAGCTCTCTGTGAGCTACTGTGTTTTCTATCACTGTATAAAAGATGCACGAGTCTTCCTTTACTGCTGCATGCACTGCGATTTTTTCTGATCGGTCAGCACTTATTACCGATTTGCTTAATCAGTGATGATAAAATGTGACTGTTGTGCAACTTCATGCACTGTTCATGTGCTTTCTCGTTCAAAATGATGACACGAACTGAATAAAATCTCTGAATTTTCGGCTTTTTTAGATGACATATCAAACAAACGCGACGACATTGCTGAGAAATCGCATTATCAGCCGAAAAAAGTGGATAAAATGGCAGAAACAGACACTTTTGTGCTTCGAAATTAAAGGGTTAAAAAAGCACAAAGCAAACAAGAGTTGATAAGTTCATGCACAAAAACCTCCACAGCAGCCAGTCGGCGTGTGTAAAAGAGAGAAAGCGTCATTTCCTGCAAGTCTAAAAATAGCACAGCTGACATCAGTGTCACCTGTCTGTCTCCCTGTCTATCTATCTATCTGTCTCTCTCTCTCTCTTGCACCCCCACTAACCTGCGGTTGCTCAGTCAGTGAAGGTAAAGGGCTTTTTTCCATCGACTCACCGCTGACCCGTTCCTGGATCTACTCTAGAAGGGCACATCACGCCCCCCCCACTAAAACCAAGAAACGCTGCCGGACTGAAGTGGTGAAGCACAATCGTTATGAAACAGAGCCGCAGTCACTCAGACCTTTTCCAGATATGGAAATCGGAGACAATGTTTATAATGCCAGTTTCCGATGCCCTCAATAAAATGCCACCCTTAGCCCAAAGAAGGGCAACTGAACTAAGACGCCTACATGAAACCTACTTCATGTTTTTATTAATAGTTATAGGCTATTCACTTTAAGTCACTCTGCCTTCCAAAAATAGAATATAGCACACTGACGGCCAGTTTCTCTGACCCAGATTATATAAGTCTAAACTTAAAAGTGTTTACAATGGCGATTCTTCACTGACAGACATTTTATCCTATTTAAGACTGCAAACTTAAAAATGATGGCTCTTTATTAAAAAACTGTTCTATGCAGAACACACTTTTTACTGGGCTGTTCTGTTAGAACTGGTTTCCCTGACATGGATTAAGCCTACACTCTTAAAAAAGGTGTTTCTCCAAGGTGTGTTAATAAAGAAAATGGTTCTATATAGAACCATGAACACTCAAAGAGCCCTTTGCATGATTAAAGGATGCTCTGCATGGTGAAAGACTTTTTCATATTGATTGTTGGAGTGTTCATGGCTCTATATAGAACCACTTCTTCTTGCTACCTGCACTAAATAATAGTCCATCAGATAAGACGTGTTTGGTGTCTGAAGATTGCTTTTGTAGTTTTAGCATCAGAGCTATGAGGCTAATGTGCATTCTTAGCAAACACGGTTCTATATAGCACCAAAATGGTTCTTTGGCTTGTAACATCAGTGGAACCCTTTTTGGTGCTTCACAGAACCCTTTTCAAAAACCTTTGCACGATTAAATGGTTCTCTGCATGGTAAAGGGGTTCTTCACATTGCTGGAGAACGTGAAAATGATTCTATATAGGACCAAAAACATTCTGGTTAAAACTGAGGATTTTGTAAACTGGCTGACTCGTTGGTGGTCAGGTGACCTTGTGCACCTATTTAAAATCAGCGATAAATGATATTTGGTATTATTTTGACCATTTTAATTACCCAGCCATTAAAGCACATAACACCAGTGACTCGAAGTTATGAGCTGCCTGATTAAACCTCTTAAAAATAATGTTTTACAGTAAAAATGGTTTCTCAAATGCTGAAAATTGGTTTTGTGACCAGCTGTTTTACAGATGCAGAGCGACTATGAAACAGGATAAAAAGGGGAAAGCAGAAGAATCATAAGGGAAAAGTGTTATTTAATACTAGGTCAACTGTGTAAACGTACATACTGACTTTTGGAGCTGTGCCTGATATTTTAAGCATCTTTTTAAGCCCTGCAGCCTTTGTGACATGGTTTCCCACTGCAAGTGGAGAATGAGCCATTTATTCTAAATGTCATACAGCGTTTTTACTGGTAAAATCACACACTCTGCCAAGACAAGCTGGCTGCCTAAGGCTGTACAGCACCAACCTATGCATCCACAGCGTCCGCCCTTCACTTAACCGTTAGGCTTGCAAACAGCTGTGAGGCAGGAAGATACAGTAGGCTGCAGCAGCAGCAGCAGCGCAGCAGCAGCAGCGCTGCATCTCCTCCCACTGGCTCACAAATCCAGACCATGTTCGACCCACTCTGCAAGCCAGCGTGTGTAGGTGCTGCCTCAACAGCCTTACTGTCAGACATGAGGTCTACTGGAAAAGGCTGAGCGCTGCTGCTGCCCACGAGAGCGTAGCCGGGCTAAATCTGAGTGGCCAAGTCCACCGAGCCCTTTGCTGGAGGAAGGAGTGAGTCATTTCTCCTGAATGCCACCGCCCCCTCGTACCTGTAAGAGTGAGAGCTGAGGGTGCTGAGGGGGCTCTCACACCTGGATGGGCTCAGAGAAAACGTGCTAAACTCAGCGACGTTTGTTGTGAAACATGAATCGATGGCCAAAAGTCACTGATTGCATTTGGTATGTGAGAGCAGTGCAGCACAGGAGAGGGGAGGAGGTGACTGGTGTGTCAAAAGTGTTGTGGTTGAGATTGGGCGGGGTTGGGGGGGTACTGACTGTAAGCGGCAGCTGATGATAAAAAGAAAAAAAGGAAATAGCTCTGGTGAACTTCCCAGAAAAGAAAAAGGTGTTTTGTGCAGTGTGAGGCCTGTCATGATCATTACTTTTCATCTGACAATTAATTTCCATATAAATATTGCAATTAACGATTTGCCTTTATAAGTTCACTGTATGCAACTATTAAAGTACAAGCTAAAAAAGGCCAAATTGGCTTATTAGCTAAAATATTACTCACTGCCGCCCTCTAAAGGTGTCACTAACAAACATCAAATAAACAAACATTACTCAGCACTGCTCTAAAGGTGCACTCTTAAAAATGAGGGTTCTTCAAGGGTAGAAAACGGTTCTATATAGAACCATCAACACCCAAACAACCCTTTGCACGATTAAAGTCATGGAGAATGTGCTGCAGACGGTGCTGTATAGAACCTTTTTGAAATGGGTTCTACACAGCACCAAAAAGGGTTCTTCTATTGTTACAAGCTCACAACAGCAGAACCCTTTTCAAAAAGGTTCTATATAGCACCGTCTACAGCACATTCTCCATTAACCCTTTCACGATGCAAAGAACCCTTTAATCATGCAAAGGGTTGTCTGGGTTTTCATGGTTCTATATAGAACCATTTTCTTTGCTAAAACAGCACTTTGCATGATTAAAGGGTTCTGTGCATCGTAAAATGGTTCCTCAGATTGATGGAGAATGTATTTGATATGGTTCTATGTAGAACCTTTTTGAAAAGGCTTCTATACAGGATCAAATAGGGTTTGTTAGGGCCTGCTATTGTGATGATGTCAGGCTTTTAACAATAGTAGAACACTTTTAGGTGCTACATAGAACCATTTTCAAAAAGGTTCTACACAGCACCATCTACAGCACATTCACCATCAATCTAAAGAACCCTTTCACAAAGCAAAGAATCCTTTTACCATGCAAAGGGTTCTTTGGATGTTCATAGTTCTATATAGAACCACTTTCCTTACTAAAGAACCCTTGAAGAATCTTTTTTTAAGAGTGTGTTAAAATCAAATGAACAAATGTTATTAACAAACATCAAATAAACAAAGATTATTTTTCAAGTAAAAATGTGTGGCATGTTCAAATGTTTACAAAGTCAGTACTTAGTAACCGCCCCTTAAGCAGTCAGCACAGCCTGCAAACACTTTCTGTAGCCTGCTAGGAGACCTTCTCACCCACTTTTTCACACCACACAACATCAAAGCATAACAGATCCATCCCACGCTTAACAGTTGGCATGGTGTCCCTTTCATCAAATGCTGATTCTTTTTTTTTATTATTCAAAAATATCATTGGTGGGAAACAACTTCTAATTTTTTCCTTCATCAAGTCAAGAGCAGTTGTTTCCAAAATGTGCCTGGATGTTTTGCATACTTTAGACCAGAGGTCACTAGTAGGCGGACCATGGTCCGAGTCCGGACCCACACGCTGTCCAATGTGGACCTGGACCTGTAACCTATAAACTATGGAGAATTATTTAATTTTGATGGAGTGGTCCTATTTTAACTGGCGTAGCTTTTCTAGCCTTTACGGTAGCTTTAGCGGCCGGAGACTCACAGACCAATCGCATGCGTTGTAAACATCACACGTGACGCTACTCAGCCAATCAGATCTTTTATAATAATAAATGTTGTTGAAATATGACTGAATTGTACTTTATTTGATTTGACATTCTGTTATTGACTGTATAAGATGTTGATATACCTACTAGGCTACTTCAGTAAACAGTATATGGCACTGAATCATGATGCAAGTTAGACATTATGATGTTCTGGACCTTCGCTTGAGGATATTTTCTCTAACTGGACCTTACTGAATTTTAATTAAAGACCCCTGCTTTAGACACTGACATCTGTGATAAGGTCAAAAGTGGGGTTTCTTTCTGAAGAATCTTTCCATGAAGATAATGTATCAGTAGAATGCATCATGTATCACTCCTGTGTCAGTCAAACCTTTCTGCAAGTCCTTTGCAATCATATGGGGGTTTTGCTTTGCCTTTCTGGCCAGCATATGAGCACAGTCCAATCTGAGAGTGCTCTCTGTCTTCCAGATCTCGCAAGACTTCCACAGTTCCACTTAACTGCCACCTCTTAATGACATTTTGGACAGTGGATACTGTGAGCTGTTTTCTTTTTATAGACTTCTCGGTGAGTGATTACACATCAGGTTCCTAATGATAATTCTTGACCCGCCTAACCAGTCCTATTTTTCTAAACCTGGTTAAACTGGACAACAGTGGCTTTGAGAACGTACACCGATCAGGTATAACATTATGACCACGCTCACTGTCCATTTCATCAGTTCCACTTACTATATAGGTGCACTTTGTAGTTCTACAGTTACAGACTGTAGTCCATCTGTTTCTCTGCATACTTTGTTAGCCCCCTTTTACCCTGTTCTTCAGTGGTCAGGACCCCCATGGACCCTCACAGAGCAGGTACTATTTGGCTGGTGGATCATTCTCAGTACTGCAGTAACACTGACGTGGTGGTGATGTGTTAATGTGTGTTGCGCTGGTCTGAGTGGATCAGACACAGCAGTGCTGCTGGAGTTTTTAAACACCTCAGTGTCACTGCTGGACTGAGAATAGTCCACCAACCACAAATATCCAGCCAACAGCGTCCTGTGGGCAGCGTCCTGTGACCACTGATGAAGGACTAGAGGATGACCAACACAAACTGCGCAGCAGCAGATGAGCTATCGTCTCTGACTATACATCTACAAGGTGGACCGACAAGGTAGGAGTGTCTAATAGAGTGGACAGTGAGTGGACACAGTGTTTAAAAACTCCATTTGAAAACCGTATTTGAATTAAAGCACAAGGGGCTGAAAGGCCAGTCTGCTCTTAAATGAAGATGGTATTTCTACTACCCAGCATGTACTCTGATGTGGTTGAGACTCACTGAGGTCCAGGACGTCGTCGGTCTTAATGAGGTCCTCTGGACGCGTCAGGGGTAGCTGGGTCTCTGGCTCTCCCTGAAGCTGCAGAGAGAGCGCCCGCAGCATGAAGAACACGCGGATAGCCTGCGGAGAGAAAAACAAACATGAGTTATTTTTATAACCACAGTATTTCAATAAAAAAATAAACATACTCCTAAATCTAAAGATCTTCCTAAATCAGTGCTTCACAGTATTGGTCCCAGAGTACCTGTCCTGCAGGAAGGACTTGTTAGGTACCTGATGATCTGAGGTATCAGATGTGTTAAAGGAGAGGAAACACCAAAATATCCAGGTCAGCGGTTCTCCAGGACCAGATTTGGGAACCACTGCCTTAAACCTTTCTCACAGTAGACAAAAAATGCCTGTTTTGGGGGTTCCTTTGTTGCATTGTATGTTTTTTCTTCAATATATTTTGATGGTATATTTTGTTGGAAGTGTGTATGATGTACAAAACCAGAACTAGATCAACATCTGTAAACATGGTTTTATTGTGTATAAATGCTGTGTGTTTATTGTGTCAGTTGTGCAGGACTGTTTAATATGATGAAAGCTGCAGTTGTTCCTTTTTATCTCGGCACGGCCGCCTTTGTGGAGAGGTGTGAATTGTTTTTCACAGCGGGGGTCTCACCCTTCATTGCTCACTAGCAGCTCAACAACATGTAACACACAGAGAGACTCCAGTGTCCTACACTCTTAGCAAAAAGGGATTTATAGTACTAAAAAAGGGTTCTTTGGCTTGTAACAAACTTGTTTCAAAAAGGGTTCCATGTAGAACCATCTATAACACATTCTCCGTCAATCTAAAGCACACTTCAACGATGCAAAGTACCCTTAATCACGAAAAGGGTTCTTTGAGTGTTCATGGTTCTATATAGAACCATTTTATTTACTAAAGAACCCTTGAAGAACCATCTTTTTTAAGTGTGTACATGGTTCTTCAAAGGTTGTTTGGTAAAGGCAACCATGAGTTCCATACTGAACCTCTTGCATGCTTAAAGTGTTCTTTGCATGGTGAACCAGTTCTTCAGACTGCTATTTTACACAAGCTTGGCATTGCAACAATTGCAGAAAGTGTTTTGCATAAGTAAACAATTAAATTAGTAAAGTTTTTAACAGATGAGTTCATTTAAGTGTAGTTCATTTGGTAACAAACTTACAGGGAGAATATTTATTATTTAAATTAAATGAATCGGTTATCAGAATTAAATCAGCTGAGAAATTCACTCATGCAGGGAGCACTTCTACAGCTGCTTTAATTAAAACGAACACAGTTACTCCATCTCATCCCGGTTTAAAGCAGAGCAGGTCTTCTTTAGGAATAAACATACTATACAGTACAAAAACTGACTTCAGACAATAGCAGAACCCTTTTTAGTGCTTTATAGAAAAGAAGTAGCTGGGCCAGCACTCATACAATTTACTGAGCAGGGTTATATTTTTCCTCAACTTGACCCGTCAGGCAAGTGGACTGAAAGTTCACTGTCCTGAACAGAGTTTAGAAAGTTTAGACAATTTTTGGCTTTTAAAAACATTTTTTTAGAAATAAAAGGTAAGAAATTAAAGATAAATAAGCACACACACACACACACACACACAATCTTAATGGCAATACAGATGATGCTAAAAGCTATGCTGTTATTATTATTTTATCAATATATATATATACATACATATATATATATATATATATACATACATTATATATATATATATACATAAATATATAATATACACTATTCATATAATAATTAAGCATTACAAAACGACAGGGAGTGTGTTATCGTGAAATAACCGTATAATAACCGGTCGCCGTAGATCATCACAGCCGTGATGTTATTGGCGATAACACACTCCTCGAGTGTTCTATTGCTTTAATACAACAGTTAAATAAGTAAAGTAATAAATTAATAAACTGGGCCGTGAACGCAGCGTTTAATATGTTTTAATGTTCGCAGTTCCTTCACCAAATTATAGTTCCTTAACGAGCAGCTTGTTGCTACGTCAGAGTAACGAGCTCCGCCCACTCGCTGCACAGCCGGCAGTTCGTTCTCCAGCTCCTTACACTAAATTCCCAAACTGTCGTCACCACTGAGCAGCTTTTCAGTCGGCAGCTGTGACAGAAGAACAGCTACAACCTGGAATCAGCCAGAAATGAACCCAACACCATTCGCCAAACGTGTAGTCTGATCTTCAGAGTCTGACCAAATCAGACTGAGCCATAAAACTGCCGCAATATCAAGTTCAGCTCAGTTTTGTCAGTTTTTGCCAGATCAGCATTAATGTTGTTTTGTTCCAGCCAGTCTGTAAAGCATCTTACAGCCCATTTAGTTTGGCGAATGGTGTTGGGTTCATTTCTGGCTGATTCCAGGTTGTTTAGCTGTTCTTCTGTCACAGCTGCCGACCGAAAAGCTGCTCAGTGGTGATGACAGTTTGGGAATTTAGTGTCGTCTCATCTTCAGAGTCTGACCAAATCGGCTGTTGGTCAAATGTGATCTTAAAAGTGTCCATTTTCTGTTTGTGGCAAGTAAAAGTAAAAACGTTCAAATGTCTTGGTTTTGTCATTACACCAATGATATACATTACAATGTCAGGATAAACACATACAGTCCAACTGAAATGATACAAAATCTCCAGTATCTTCCTAAGTTTGTTCTTAAGTGTGTTCTTGAGAAGGTCCTAAGAAAAAGTCGGTGTCAGATTCATGACGTGTTCTTAAAGCGCAGAACTTTTTTCCACGTTTGTGCTCTTGAGTGTATGTAGATTCTGTTCTTACCTAAGAACAAATCCCAAATAAGAACAAGTTGGTGAATGTCAGAATCTTTGAAAAAAAAAGTGGCTAAGTGGGTTTTAAGGAGAAATTAAGAGGAATGGTTGGTGAATGAGGCCCAACATTTTTACTTCTCTTGTAAAGTTGCCAGATAAGATAAAATACCAATGCTGGCCTTTTGGAAACATACTTTGGTGCAAAAACAGTCATGTCACACAGTGTAACTACACAGAAGGGCGTATTTGTGAGTCACACAGAAGAAATGCATGTGGAGAAGGCTGAGGAAGTGTCTTTTTCCTCTGAGACTAATAAAGAGAGCACAATATCCTGATCCTTGTTTCTAAACTTAATGTCCACTTTATCAGCTCCACTGACCGTACAGTTTCACTCTGTAGTTCTACACTTACAGACTGTAGTCCATCTGTTTCTCTGCATACTCTGTCACCCTGTTCTTCAGTGGTCAGGACCCCCATGGACCCTCACAGAGCAGGTACTGTTTGGGTGGCGGATCATTCTCAGCACTGACGTGGTGGTGATGTGTTAGTGTGTGTTGCGCTGGCCTGAGTGGATCAGACAGATGATCAGACAGTGGATCAGAGACGATAGCTCATCTGCTGCTGCACAGTTTGTGTTGGTCATCCTCTAGACTTTCATCAGTGGTCACAGGACGCTGCCCACAGGACGCTGTTGGCTGGATGTTTTTGGTTCTCAGTCCAGCAGCGACACTGAGGTGTTCAAAAACTCACACTAACACACCACCACCACATCAGTGTCACGTCAGTGCTGAAAATGATCCACCACCCAAATAGTACCTGCTCTGTGGTGGTCCTGACCACTGAAGAACAGGGTGACGAAGTATGCAGAGAAACAGATGGACTACAGTCTGTAACTGTAGAACTACAGAGTGAAACTATATGGTCAGTGGAGCTGATAAAAAGCACACTGAGTGTAGAAACAAGGAGGTGGTTTTAATGTTATGGCTGATCAGTGTATGCTTGCATGACTTCTTTCTATTTTTCAAAAAAGAAAATTTCTTTGGATTCAGCACTTTTTTCTAGGATGAGCAGCTCATTTTTTCATCTATAAAGAGCGATTTTTAATTAGGATCTTCAAAGATTAATATACAACAAGTTCTCCAGCATAGAAAACTAACCATTTAACCATGCAAAGAACTACTTAAACATTGAAATGTGTCTGCTGAGCGTTTATGGTACTATATATTACCATTGCCTTTGCTAAAGAACCTGTTTTTGTGGGCAACATTCTTAGAACCTTAAATCATTTCTCTATCTATAGTGTGTACATCTGTCTTGTGTTCTCCCAGGCGCGAGTGAGTGAGCGCGCATGTGTAATTTAGTGTTAAATAAATAAACCTGTCTGTGATGCCTAAATTACAAAGGAAACCTGTATAGTGTCTGTGTAAACACCAAAAAAAGACATACATGAGGAATGCAAACAGGCGCGTACATGAAAGTCAACGCTTGTGCTGAGCACAGCGACTGACAGGACAGCAAAGTCAACTTAAAGGGCCTACATCATTAAAAAATCCTTTTTTCTTTACAATATAGGGTGTCCCAAAAAAATTTACATCATTTTGTAGTCTAATAACAGCCAATTCTCCCTCAAATGATCTCAAATTTTAAGAAAATGTGTAAAAACTAATGTGTAAAAACCAAACTGAAAAAAAACATTAAAAAGTTTAATTTTTAATGTTTTTTTTTCAGGTTGAAGAATGGCATTCACTAGAAATGAAAAGGCATTTTGTGTGTTAGAATATGCTCAAACACAGTCAAACGAGAGTGTGCAGCGGCATTTTTGAGAAAATTCACTAAAAATGCACCAACTGGAAAGCAGAATTTGGACATGGCACAAAAAACTCAAAGAGGAAGGCTGTCTGTGCAGCGCAAAGGGATCTGGACGACCACCAGTATCAGAAGATATTACATTTGTGAAGCTGTGAAATCGGTTATAAAATCTACATCCCTCTGAATTTCTTGTTCAAATTTTGATAAATAAATCTTGTATTGTTCAACATGAAGCCTGTTTAATTTAGTTTGCCTGGACAAACTAAATTACTCAGATATCACATCTCAGATGTGTAACATGCAACACTGCTAAAAATTTTAAAACCCAGCCCATACATGGAAACTAGGCCCGTTAGAAATCACTGCTTTTGTGATGTCACAAACACAACACATTTACATATATCTGCCCATTCAGCCTAGAGCAGTTTAGCTCCGCCCACTCTAAGCGTTTCAGCTCAGATTGAATGAGAATGAATGAGATCAAAACAGAGCTCATTTACATTTACCTAAAA